GTTTAAACACGAAGGCGCGCTATAAAAGGAGCCTTAGGTCCCACTGGACCATTTGTCAATCAACCGTCGTGTGATGTAGAACTCTTAGAGTCAAGTCAGCTTGAGCTACAGCTACTCCAAAGCAGTGAACAGCGGGCGCATTCCTCAAAATTGTTTTATGTCTTCATCACAATACAAGAATTTTTGAGATTTGTATTTCCTTTCTCCAATGGAAACTGTCTTTATTTGTGGCGGTAAATTTGAGATCGAAGTAGGTGGTTCGCACGTTACCTCATGCCACCATGCTGGTGGAAGTAAACAATAGATATCTCATTAGCTCCTTTTGTTCGTCTACCAGCATTTGAATTTGACCCGCACACGTCAACGGTGAGTGACAAATGAGCCTTGGTCTTCCTAGGGAAGACTTCTTTATATAGCGCGCCTTTGTGTTTAAATCCTATTTTCACAGCCACATTAATGTGTACAAGGAACCACTTTCTGTAGAAGAAGGAAGATTTATTTAATCAACCAGGCAATTGTCCTTAAAACTTTTATGTTCATATTTATATTTCTCTAGTTCTGAGTGGTTAAAAAAACAAATTTGTTGAAAAATTTTTACTTACCCACTGTTATGACAGCAATGGTGGTATTGTCACCAGTACCAACTGCATTCAAACGTACACAGTGTACACTCCATCTGTTTGAACTGTGACAGTATACATGTACGTACTCAAGTTGTTCACACCAATAAAGGTAGCATTAAAATAAAAGTGATACACATGTGGTGCAGCGTTGGCATCTGTTTTGCAGCTTAACACCATGTTCCTACCACGTAGTACAGTAGTGTTGGTTGGGCTGGATGTAAAACTCATCCCATTTGGCTTGTCTACAAAACAAAAAAGATAACTAAAAGGGTTGTCTCACTGCTTACATAAAAATGTTTCAAAGCTGATGAATAAGAAGCCACCAATTTGCCAAATGAGACTGAAATAATATATGTATGATGTATGATCTCATGTATGATCCCATGTGGTGTCCCACAGGGGTCTGTGCTTGACCCTCTGTTATTCTTAATCTATCTTAACGATATTCATAACTCTTCAGCAAAATTGTCATTCTATCTCTTTGCTGATGGCACGAGCTTGTTGTATGCTGACTCCAATTTGAAATCTCTTTATAAAAACCATCAATAGCAAACTGCTCAAAGTCTCTGACTGGCTCAATGCAAACAAGTTAATGCTCAGTGCTAAAACGTCAAACTATGTCATCTTTCATCCATATCAACGTAAGTTGAACTACTTGGTTAACATTAAAATGATTGATAACTGTACTCAAATTCCTAACACGCTTCAGTGCGTGGACCATGTTAAATATCTTGGCGTCCTATTGGACAGCAATTTAAGTTGGAAATCTCAAATTAATAATGTTGCATTGAAAATAAGCAGAACTGTTGGTGTTGTTGCCCGTCTTAGGCACTTCGTCCCATGTAAAACCTTTTCAAATATCTATCAATCATTGACCTTGCCTCATCTGACATATGGTTTGGCGGCTTGGGGTCAAGCTGCCAAAATCCATTATTTTACAAAAAATTCTCATGCTTCAAAAACGAGTTCTTCATTTTATATACTTTTCTGAACCTAGAGCCCATGCTGTGCCTTTATTTATTTCCTCAAAAATTCTACCTTTACAAATGCTATATGCTGAAAAAGTATTTTCTGTAATGTTTGACATTTCCTGCATGAATGCTCCGTCTAACATCTGTGACTTCTCTACTAAAGCTAATTCAAAGCACAAGCATGAGACCAAGTTTTCTTCGTCTGGAAATTATTATGTTCAAACTTCAAGACTGAATCTAAATCAACATTCTTTTTCCAGGTTTGGAGTTAAACTTTGGAACGCAATTCCTGACGAATTTCGTCAACTCTCCAAAGGAGCTTTCAAGAAAAATTTTCATGACTCTTTGCTCTCGATAATGGAAGCAGAGGACAATTATGTTGAAGTGCCCATTCTTCTACAAAAAATGGCAAACTCTGTATCCTTGAAATGTACTAATAATCCATAGGTTCTGTTAGGAGTAAATTTGAATGCAATATATTCTGTAAGACTATGTATTTTGTAACCCTAGCTTGTTTTTCAGTAATTATCCAGATAGCTTACTTAGTTACTTTACAATTATTAGTTAGTTAGTTAGTTAGTACTGTTAGTTATGTAGTTAGTTAGTTACTTTACAATCATTATAAATTATTATCTGTTATGACTGCTGTAACCTTACCTCTCCGCCCGCCTCATCTAGCTTTTGCTATTTGCGGGTGGAGATGGCAAAATGATGCACGTGAAATTAAGTTTGATGATGAAATAGCTTCATAACAAGTGAGAACCACTTCTTTCCCACTTAGTTAATTATCACCTATGGAAGACATAGGAAGCATCATCCTGGTTATTAAACCCTCCAACTCCCTATGATCTAGCAGGTAATTACACCTTTAGCTTAGCCCCCTGGTTGATGGTTTTGTCAATCTCCTTTTCTTATAGTTATAGCACTAGATTATGAGTTGGATTGATTAATGTGAGAAGTTTTAACTGCTTTCAAATAAAACTTCCAGTGGTTAAAACCATCAGAGAGGTATTATAGTACGATCCACTGAGAATTTGAGACTTATTGAACACAAGGTTTATTTAAGTAAGCTAGGGTACCCTGTCGACCTATCCTCCTGTTTTCAGTTTTATCAAGAAAGTTCTATGCTTTTAAAACACTAACTTCTCTGAGTTGAGTGGTTTTTTGAAACTTATGTGAGATAGCTTGGCTCTGACAACCTATAAGCATGTTGCTCAGTGAGTACAACATTCACACAGATATAGAGATTTGACCCCCATTTCCTGTCCTCTGCTTTGTCACATTATAGATCATGTTTTAAAAGAACTAGAATAAGCTGCAATTATAACAGCTCTAGGATACAATACAACATTTAAGCTAGCCTTTTGACAAAATAAACAAGAACAGGTGTAGAACACCAGTATTCATTGATCATGCCTTGAATGTTGCTTTGTATCATTTTACAAATTCTTTTTGACTGATTTCTACTCACATTGCACTTCAAGGTAAGCACTGGCACTGACAGTCACACTCAAGCCGTTATCAGCTGAGCACCAGTAGTATCCTGATTGATTCCTATAGACTGGAAAGCTAAGCATGTCTCCTGTACCAACAGCTCCTCCATCCTTCTGCCACTTGATTACAGGGGCTGGAACACCACTAACATTACAGACAAAATGTTACTGTGTCTGTTTTATTGATAGTCTGGTCACTTGGTGCACTAACAAACTTGACAGGCACTAAGAATGACAACACAAATGTGTCCTTAGTTAAATATTTAACAAGGGAGTGTTAGTGTCTAAGAAATCACTTGTTGATTTAATTTCATATTTTGTCGTAACATATGGGTACACACTTTACAGTATATATAAACATTTTCTACCGTAGCTTGGCCTCAATCTGCCTACCCACACTTCAATTAAGAAACTTTTATGGTTAGTGCTACAGGAAAAACCATGGGTGACATAGATTTCTTCTTAAAGTTCTTGAATTTTCCTAACCTTGACTGATTCATTTAATTTTCCCTGCAACATGATAACCATGATACAGAGCAAGCCAGGGCTCAGCTCTCAAAAGGACAGATCACCTTACCCAGTGGCTATTAATCCCTATCCAGTGGATGAGTGTTAACAAAACATAAAGCACTGTCCAGTGGATAGAGACTTAACCAGTGGATAGCTATATCCATCTTTTGAGCAACCATGCCTGGTCTTTGGTTTGCCAATCCCAAATGTTGGTGTGTTTCAGAACATTTCTAATGTGAATCAACAAGAAATGGAGGCATCAAGGTAAATGTCTGCTGTATACTTGTTTATTTTCTTTAATTGATTCATCAGCTACAGATCCATACAAAGGTTATACACTGATAACTTGTTTCATGCTAAAGATATTTTTCACCCACAAGTTCAAAGATTGACACGCTTTTTTCAAATGTTATCCCATTGCATTACATAGCTCACTGGGCTTGAGTGATGCCCTAAAATTCACAATGTCAAACACTGGAAAACTACAAGACAATAGAGCAGACTTTGAGCTACATTGTACAAGGGATTCATTCAGTGGGGCTATTTACAAAGATAACAGTAATTTAAAATGTTAATTATGATGGCAAACAGCCATCATAATTAACATTTTAAAATGATAACGGCAAACAGCCAAAAACATTTGGTTTAACATTTTAATAATTTTTCTTAATCTTTTTAGCCTTGTATATATAATATATACTGTGATCCTTCTTAACATGTTTTCCAGGAAACTTAATCAGCAACATTCTAGTTATACAACTGTAGATAAAGTATCCATCATGATCAATACAAAACTCCATCAACAATTATTGTTCAGGTAATGCATTATTGTATATTGATTTTGACTCTAAAATTGCATTTACTCTTTTCACTTTCAATTCACAATAATACTGTCACTGAAACCTTCATCAAGTAGTCACACTGAGAACCTTCTAAAGTGTTGGCTTGATAGAGGTTTGTAAAAATTGCAGAATGTTTGTTAATGATTGGCATTTAAGGGTTACTCTTTACTCTGTGTGGTCAACAAAGCTATCCAGAGTTCAAGTTCATTACTTTTCATTACCAACTCAAATTTGTTGGTAATAATGCAAAAACATAACAGCAAAACAGCAATGACTACATACACAGTAAATCGACATGTATTGATTACATTTTATCAACTATTTTGAGGATGTAATCCCATTCACTACATTGTGAATTAATTCAGTCCAGTTTCCCCTTAATTGAGGTTCTTAATAAAAGAAATAAGCCAAATACAATTTATAATTATTGAGGCATCTGCTGAACAGGACTTCATCATAAAAAGAAATGTAAGGCTGTGTTTACACTTGGTGACCAAGCATTTGTGCCAGGGCAATGCCATAATATGGTGCTGTGTTCAGACACTGGGTACCTGATATATCAGTGCCCAACTCAGTGCCAAGATTCTGGCATGAGTACTTGAAGAAAAGTTGTGTTCATATTAGCGCCATCAAGAATCATACACGGGCACCATGCTCAAGCACCAAGTGTGAATGTGGCCTGAGCCTTAGAATCAGCTTGGCCTTTTACTCCAAGGTGGACGATAAAGTGCACTATACCTAAAGATTGATTACATAATAATGATTACTTACCAAGAACAGTCAGGTCGATTAAGCTTTAGGTTCTTTTCACTGACTCCAGCTCAACTCCTAAAGTATACGTCCCTGCATCGACAACACTTACATTGCAGATTATCAAAGTGGCTGGCCGCTCGATCGAAAAACGATCCCGTGAAGGAAAACTAAGTGAGACTCTGATCACTCTGTCGGCTGTATACCCAATGTATGTGTCGGCACCATTGTGGCTTAAAAAGTAATCAACTTCTTCAATGGGGCACCATCAGGACAGGATTAGTTCCAGTGTAGGTATACTACGGGAGTGAATTCATGAACTTTAGTAGGATTGTCCACCACGATTGTAACTTTGACATCGTCGGCAGCCTCTGTGAACAAAAATATGTACACACGTGCTGTGAATAAGCGATTAAGGAGCAACTTCTGAATACCCGTCCACATCATTTACATATGTCGGGAGGCTTTGAAGAACGAGGCATAACACAATAAACGTTATTCTTATTCAATTACATGGAAATGATGTGACCGGGTATTCTGAAGTTTAGCAGCGATTAAAATACACTTGAAATAAACATAGAGAATCACAATATTTTGCTTCAATGTATTTGACAATGAACAAAACGGATGCTTGACGTTTATTTCCCTTTGATTTTGGACGAAGACAAAGCAATTCAGCAAGAAATAGCTTAACAAGCCTTGATGCACTAAATAAGATCGTACCGATAAGCAGAAGTAGTAGTAGTAGTAAAACTTTATTAAAAGTGTCAAGAGCCGTCTAGCTAGGGAAAAATCCCTTACTAATTTGGGGAAACTAAAAAAGAGAAAAGATTAGGAGCTTTTTAGAGTAGTATATGTATTAAAACTAAGAGAAAATCTATAGTTAACTAGTTACGGGATTTGTGATAAAAATATATAAAATTTAAGAGGAGCAAAGGCTACAGCATGTGCAGCCATCATCCAAGAGCTCACTTATACTGAGTTGGCATATCTTGCCTTTGAACAACTTGAGGGTCTCAACCNGCAGATAGAGATTATATGCTCAGAGAAATTTAGCTTGGAATCTAACTCTACTCCTAGAAGTTTAATGTTATCTTTGGTTTGGATTTCAACATCATTCACACAGATGTTACTATCATTTTGAGTGAAGCCCAAGTTCAAAACCTGATATTTCTCAAGGTTTCCTGCCAGTAAGTTAGAGTCATACCACGTTGTTGCTAAGTTGGCACTATCCTTTAACTGGGATATGATAGCTGCCTGATCTGCACCTGCATGGTAAATCTGGTGGTCGTCTGCATACATAGGCAATTTCGCTGTAAGACAGTAGGATAGATCATTCTGGAAAACATTCCATAAGAATGGGCCCAGCGCAGAACCCTGCGGACAGCCACAACTCACAAATTGGCTCAAACTAACATGACGACCAATCTTTACTTGATATTTCTGTTCATTTAAATAACTGTTTAGGAGTTGAATAGTGCTTTTCTGGAGAACGTTCACTTTAAGCTTGCATAGAAGTAGTGGTGGGTGGAACAAGTCAAAGGGCTTTGACATAATTATCTGTTGAAAGTATACTCACAACCTGTCTTGGATCCCTTGCGAGTCTCCAATCTTCTACTAGATTGATCAAAGTTGTTTCGCAGCTGTGAGCTTTGCGATAGGCAGATGAGTTCTGATAAAAGCGGCTTCCCAAAGCGGAGTTGATCTGCACTCTAACCAGCTTCTCGAGAACTTTGCTTACACAAGGAAAGAGTGTTATGGGCCGGTAGTTTTCCTTCACAGTCCTGTCATCTTTTTTGTACACTGGAGCCCTATACCCAAACTTCCATTCGCAGGGCCATGCATTGTTGTCGATACAAGAATTGAACAAGGTGGTTAATGGAGCGGATAATTCCTCGACACCAACTTTTAAGGCCTTGGAAGGGTTGCCATCAGTGCCGGTGGCTTTGTTTGTATTCAGCGAATCGAGAGCTGCGAGGACTTGACCATGTGTGACCGGTTTGATTTCAATGGTTTGTGTGAAGTCCCTGTTTTCATGCTGTATCCTCTGAACACAAGGGTGATCCCAAAAGCCCTCAATTGACTTTTTTTCAATCGCTGTGCCTCCGATGCCATCCGCCAAGGTAGCAAAATGCTCAACCAATTCCTCAGCCACCTGTTGTTGATTCGTTATCATATTACTACCGTTTGTCATTTTAAAGTGGATGTCATTTCTTTCGATACAGCTCTTAGAACTCAAAAATGGCTTGAAGGTCTTGAAAAATGCTTTAGGATTGTTTTTCAGATCGTTTGACATTTTATTCCAGTACTGTTTTATTGCTGTTCTTCTTTGTCTGGTGGCCTCGTTCCCATCCTCGGAGACCCAGGGTCTGAGTCGATTTGAAGTTAGGGCATGAAGAGCCCCTGGGGACATTGTCTTACAAGACTAGTTCCAAACGGTCGCACTCGTTCTGCCATCTGATTGGTGCCAGAAAAGCTTTGTGTTTTTCTGCCCAATCAGAGTGAAGTGTGCTTTAGAGTCCTTTCGTGTGTTTTAACACATACAAGTAGCTCAGTTGCTCGCTGTGTTTGTCTGGACCTTGCGACGGAGATTTGCTTGAGGTGAAAAGTTTCAGTCTCAGCACANGAATGAGCGAAAAACAAACTTTTTAACCGCGGGGAGCTCTTGGAGTGAGCCGCTCGAAAAGAAAGCGCGCCAAAGCATCGATTTTTCTTTTCTTTGATTGTTTTGAACTTGTGCGACGGACTTTACCAAAAGGAAGCGCTTGCTTAAAGTCCACATCGGTATATACGTTATTTCAGAACTCGTGTCTCTTATCCTCAAGCTCATGTTTGCCATCTGCGGATCCGAGCATTGATTGGTCGCAAACTTTAGTCTTGTTATGATTTTGGAACGTGCGGGACGCAAAGCTCCAAAGTCTTAATAGCCTTGAGCGTTAGGCTCAATCTTACGCTTTCACGATGAAGCCACTGTTTCGCTTGCATTTAAGGTTTCTGATTTTGAGATAGCAAACTGCTGTTTCCTAAAATAAAATTAATTCTCTCTCAACAAAATTTAATCAGGCCTGTTTCTTTGTATTAGGGATGAAAGTTTCTAAAGAAACTGTGGTGCTGCGTCGGTGGGGGTAACAAGGTAATTTGGTCATATCAACTATTTGCTCTGAGAAGGGCTAACGTTCGAAATGTCAGCTTTTAACTCGTTACGGTGGCCAATTTACAATTTCAACTTAGTTGATATAACCCTAATTACCTGTTTCCTTGTACTTGCTTTGGGGCGGAACCCTTCAAGAATAGAAAGTCTTACGCAGTGCAAAGCAATGGTTTCAAGGGGATGCATGCCCCCCAACCCTACCCCCCTCTTGTTTAATACCAGAGAGTAAGTAGATAAAACCCTGGTCAATGATAACGAATCTTTACAAAACCAATTCCAGAATACTGATGGCAGTGAGGTATCAAGGAGACAACTGGGCTTCGAGAATTAAACAACAATAAATGTAAAATTCATCAGCGTTTAATTAACATTGCAGTTGGTTACATGTGTTGTAAAAAGGTATCAAGGAGTCACCAAAACAAAAAATAAACGTATGGTACAAGCGTAGAAAGATTGAAAAAAAAAAAACAACAACAACAACAACAATAACAATATACATCAAACATCATTGTTAGCCTAGATATAAGTATTCCATTACAATCTGCAGGCGTGTTCAGATCAGTAATTCCGATGGATTAAGTCTACTGGTTTTCGCCTTTAGAAAACCAAAGGTTTCTGAACAGTAACTGTTCATTACAAGAACAGTTATGGACAGCCACATACCACACATTTGAGCTCTATCGGCTTCAAAAAAGTGTGAATAGAATATCTAAACCAACACTCGTTAATTAGACCACACACTTAACACTTGGTCTATGGTACTCATTAAGAACCACTAAGTATTGCATCATTCAGACTACGAAAAACCAATATGCTTAAAAAATGAATCAAATGAAACTGGACAGTGTGGCAACTAGCTTTGACCAGCAGAACAACCTAGGAGGTCTTGTAATGAAACCAAAACGAGGCGTTCGGGAATTTTCATGGAAGGGTTGTGGTACTTGTACAAAGTAGACTGTACTTCTGTTTTGATTGGTTGACTGCGTCATTCGTGCGTTTGATTAGCTAGTGATTACTCCACATCTGTATTTGCACACTGGCAAAGTAATCAGTGACGTTGTAGTCCTTAATCAGGAGAAGTCTTTCGTACGTGTCTGTCACACATGTCCACTTATCGTCAATGGTTATTACTACGTGGTTGCTCGTCAACAGGAGAAACAGTCCCTTGACGTAAATAGCAAAACAAACGAACCGTTAAACAAGAATTCAATACCGACAAAGAGAAAAAGAGAGAGTGGTTGCCAGTACGAATTGGGCTGAACCACTTTGGAAATGACGAGTTCACTATAAACAAAATTTGTTTGAACGACCTTTCAACAATATACATATAACTGTAAAGTTTTTTTTTAAGCCTAAGATTAGTCGAGATGTGATTCAACCCATACTGAAAATTTAAGATGGTTTAGATAATTACGGTTACTTACAAAGGAGGGACCAATTAAATGCGTCCTTGAGGTTACTTCCTAGCTTTAGAACCTGAAAAATATGGGTTTTTTTTTTGTTTTGTTTTGTTTTTTTGCATTATTTGATTCAATTGAAGTCAAACATTTTACCTAACGTTTCCCAAAAAATTAAATCTCTAAAAGCATCGGAGTTATTTTGTAATAGAAAAACGTATTTTCAAACAAAATTTATAAGTATGACACACGATCCTCGTAGTAGAGAGCGCTATTTATGCAATAGCGAAAATCAGACCTGAAAAAAAGCGTCGGAAAAAAAGTTTACAAATCAGGAAGGTGTCATAATCTCTTTTCGTGGACGAGTCCCGTGGGGGAATTTTTGAGGCAGCCGTTCATCTTGAGGCTCGTTTTTCATGTTATTCGCGTATTTTGTTCACATCACGCACTTGACAAATTCTCAAGAGGAAGCTCTTTAATTTTAGTTTCTGCGTCCCCTAAATGGTGTCCATGGCCACTTAATAGAGGTATCCGCTGAATAGGAGTTCATTATAAAGGGAAAGGTGACTCGGCTTAGTGTTGAAAGAGGGAGTGTTGGTGGCTTTGCCTTTGAGTCCAAGCTGGTTACGGACCTTTTTGCACACAAAATATAATCATTGTATGATTACATTGACTTACCAAGAACATCCAGGTCGATTGTGCTGTAGCTTCTTTTCGCTGACTGCAGCTTAACTCCTAAAATATACGTCCCAGTATCGGAAGCAAATACATTGCGGATTATCAAAGTGGCTGGCCGCTCGATCGAAAAACGGGGTCATCCTCGCTGTAAAAACCTGACGAGGTTTTCTTTGTTTCATGAGGTATTGTTTTGCTGTACGTTATTGTTTATAATGTTTTATTGTCTTTGTTTTACGTCACTCGTGAGCTTCACAGGTTTTTACACCGAGGATGAGCCGACTCTTCTGCCACTGTTCTCAACAATCACTTGCAATCGCTGTTTACTCCAAGTAGCAACACACCACTATGAAGAGTCCATCAAGAAAAGAAAAATTCATTCTCGTGTCTTCATTAATGTTCATCATTATGTTCAAGGTAACACACCCTACTCTCAGTCGAGCAAAATAAGAACATATGCAATTGCTTTGAAGAGATCTAATCTCAAAATTATCTGCTCCGACCGCTATCAACATCGCCATCTGCATTAACACTTATCTGGGGTGCTTAGGGTTTGTCTATATTCGTAGAATATGTAGTTTCATTTGAGCTCCAAAAGGTCTACCTTGATCGGGATAGAACGGGTCCGGAAGAGGTCGCGCTTAGTATGGACTTCTGTACGAATCCATGACTTGGAAACAAAAGGTTTTCGTTACAATTGTATAGCTTTCGGGATGTCTAGGGTAATCTTCACATTCCCACACAGATTAATAATCAACTGAACCCAACATAAAAGGAAAAAAGGTTTGCAAACAGAAAAATTTAAAATTGAATTTTAGAAGCCTATTTTGGCTTTGCATCTGATACAAAAGCAACAAAGATCGAGGCCGCGCGAAAGAACATGCCCCTTGAAGTCATCTGGTACTGGCTCGACCATTCTCAGCGTTTATTCTGACCTTAGTATTAGCAAAGTCGCGTGCTGCTGCTTCGCTCATGCCAGCTGTAGATCACAAACCGGAAAACAAAACGTCTATGTTAATTGATCAAGAAAAAATTAATTAATAATAGAGGACAGAAAATAAACAAATGGAAAATATGTAAATAATCAAATGCATGCCGAGTAAACTTCTCATGGCATTGGTATATATGTTCTTCAGCAATCGTATATTTTATCCACATTATTCCCAACTGAAGCTCATACCCGCCATCTACGAGGGTGTAAATAGGTTTTCGGGATCCGAGCCTTGTTTGATGGCAAACTCGAGGTTCGGAAATTTTATGCCTTGTTAATTTAGGAATGTGGGACGTATAGCGAGATTCTGGACGGCAGATATTAACAGTAAGCGAGATTTAGGAACTTATTGGTGGGAATCGGTATAAGAACGGAAAATGCCACCGTCACAACTTTCTCAGAGATAATGACGCTGCGTTCACTTTATTATACTTCGAACCTTTTCCACGTGGTGTAATCCTCTACAAACGGCGGATCACTCTGGGCAGAGTAAACTCATACGCTTTGCGAGTACACAACTAAGGCCTTTGTTGATGAATAAAGGGAGAACTGTAAAAGATATCCGGTACTAGCTATATTATATACTGAAAATGACATCAGACGCCACTTCCCCTCTCCTTCTCCTTCGAAAAACCCGAGGGATTAAGGAAAAAACAAAAAAAGAAATGGAAATATCCGTTTCATGAAAGACCTGTTCAGAATTTCCTTATACGGTTATGCGGTTGCGATATGCTTGCTGAAGAGAATAAATGTTAAGTATTGTACCGCCCTTATATGAAATAGGAGCTTCAAAATGTATGCTTCACTTGCTAAACGCCTTCTGATCCTGAATCCTCTGAGAAAGCCCTGATAATAAGGTAAGAAGCTTGATAGAATGCTTTCAGCGCATGATCGAACCCGACCTAACACAGTCAATGAGTATTTTATCATTTGACCGTCGTTCTTCCTTTTTCTTCCTTTTCTCTCGTACTTCTTTCGGATAGTATCCCGCCGCGCCGTACGGCTTTTTACGGCCTTAATGTTCATGCTATCGCGTACGGCTCCAATATGGGGATCTTTGTGCATTGTATTTCAATACACGGAGGCTAGAAGATATTAATTTTCCGTTGGAGTGGCAAGAACAATAGCTGACGATTGAAGACAGCAAACGAGTAAGA